ATCAAAACTCTTCGCTGACTGTTGAAGACTGACTTTCTACCCCACTAGGACATCACACAAGCGATAAACACCCGATGACACAAAGTGCCACCATGCGGATGAGGATCACCGTGGAGAGGTCCCAGAAACCGCGTTCAGACAATCGGCCATATTGATGGCCTGCCTATACTGCGGCCCCTGGCAAAAGCCAGAGAGGGGCTTCAAATAACAAATAATTACGTCCTAAAAAGGACGTAATGGATATTAAGTGGTTGAAACTGTTGAAGGATTGGGGGGGGGGGGGGGGAGACGGAGTGCTTATGTGAATGCCCTGAGAGAAATGATGTCGGTTCTTGAATCAAATCAAATCATGGAATCTGTTTATCAATAATTTTCGGATATGCCAAGCCATTAAACGTGTCCCGACTATTTAAGTCAATTTGATTAAGGTTAACTTTTGTCATATACTTGGACATGTGTACAACTTTTCTACTAATTTTTTTAGAAATTGTTTACTTCGTCAGTGTTAGAGTGTGACTTATTTCCCCTTTACGGATTATTATAAAGATGTGCACACTTTCGGAGTCCATTGATCGACTTGGGATGTCCCCTTCTCGCAATGTGTGTTTGTGTGTATGTTGGTATGTACCTGTGTGTATATGTGTGTTGGCGTGAATGCCTGTGTATACGTGCGTCTCTGTGTGTAAGGATATTTGTATTGTGTGTCTGTGGGTGTGTATCTATCTATGTGTGTCTGTGTGTGTTTGTTTGTGTGTTTGTTTGTGTGTATGTGTGTGTTTGCGCGTGTAGGACCGTGTGTATGTGTCTGTATGAGTATCTGTGTCTACATGTGTCTGTGCGCGTGTTTGCTTGTATGTGTGTTCTACGTGAATGTAGCTGTGTGTTTGCCTGCGTGTGTTTTTGTATGTGTGTGTCTTTGTTGTGTTTGTGTCTTTATATGTGCCAGTGTGTGTATGTGTGTCTGCGTGAATGCGTGTGTATATGCGCGTCTGTGTTTGTATATATCTGTGTATGTCTCTGTGTGTGTCTGCGTGTTTATGTCTGTGTGTGTTTGTCTGTGCGTATCTCTGTGTGTAGTGTCTCTGGATGTGTCTACATGTGTGTGTCTGTGTGTGTGTGTGTGCCTGTGTATATGAATGTTTGCGTTTGTGTCTGTGGGTTTGTGTCTGCGTGTATCTGTGCGTGCGCCTGTGTGTATGAATGCCTGCGTGTGTCTGTGGTTGTGTGTAATATGTCTGCCTGAGCATCAGCGCGTGTGTGTGTGTGTGTGTGTGTGTCTGCGATTGTGTGTGTGTGTGTGTTTGTGTGTTTATGAGTGTATCTGTGTGTGTTTGTGTCTGCGTGTGTTTATGCATATGTGTCTGCGTGTGTGTGTATGCCGGTTTGTGTGTGTGTGTCGTATGTGTGTGTGTATAAGCGTGTGTGATTGGGTATGTGCGCGTATGTCTGTTTGTGTGTGTGTGTCTGCATTTGTTCCTATGGGTGTGTCTGTGTGTGTATATCTGTATGTTTGTATGTGTGTGGAATGTGCGTGTCTATGTGGGTATGTAGGTATGTATGTGGGTGATTGGGGTGTGTTAATGTGTGTGTGAAGGTATGTGGGTGTGTTTAAGTGAGTGGGTGGGTGGGTGTGTGTGTGTGGGCATGCATTTTACCACCCATGCTTTTTTGTTATTTTTTCTTTCTCTTTTTTTGATATTCATAATATGCCTATTATCATATGAGTATTACATGCTTATTGATAAAATACAGCTGCAGTGTGAAAGACGGGTGTCTGGAAGGGCCGAATGTAAGACGGGCCTGAGTGCCCAATTTGTGACCCTTTGAAAATAAAGTTCATCGTTCGTTCGTTCGTTCGTTCTTGTTTGGCGACACCCTATTTAACTTGTTCCTGCAGTCTGACCATGGTTGCAGATCCAGTTTTCAAATACTTTACGCAAACGTCTTAATTCTCTTTGAGCATTCATTATATCAGTCTGGCCTATGGCTTGTCCGGCTTTCACAGTAGCCTTACCTGCAAGCCTATCAGCTTGCTCATTTCCTTGTACCCCTACATATCCTGGCACGAAAATGAAACTAATCCCTGGGAGCAAGTGGACAGTACAGACCGCGAATAAATCACTACTGTGGACCATGGTGTGGTCAGGATATCAGGCCGATACTATACTCGGAGGAAAGGCAAGACGTACATATCATCAACCCGTCACTGGTTTTCATCGGAAATTTAATCCTTCGATGAAAGCTAAAGATGGGGAAAATGTGATTCGTGAGGACTATCACTACAGCGCTCTGGTCAGGTGCTCCGATCTCCTTTTCAGTAGCTTAACAAGTGTAAAAATGACTGATCACGCCCGTCCTGTGTTGGTTAACCACACACCTTGTGCTCTTTGTGAAATGTTCATGTCTGAATGCTCTAGGTTCCACCCCCACGGTTCACCGCGTCTAACTCTATTTATAATTAATAGCTAAAGTCGTACGTGGGTCCACCAACCTGGTCAGGGATACTGAATCCTGCTCGTTGTCGTGATCTTCTCTGCGATATGCAGCTGGCTGGCATGGCATAATACCCCTGTGTGGGTTCCGGGGCGATTTTGTGGGGAAAACAAGAATAGACCCACTGCCTCCCCAAAAGCATGTCGTAAGAGTCGACTAACTGGGGAGCTTCCTTTGAAGTCGGAGTGCATCTGCCTGAGAAGCAAGGAACCAGCAGTCTGCATTCAATTGAATCAGATCTGTAAAACTGATGCACATGCAACACTCAGGTTCTGGAGCAGGACGAACAACCAGAACTTTACGCCAGAGTGTACAGCTGGTGAACGCAAAGAAGATGAAGAAGAATGGCATAATTTCTGTCCAGTGCCGGACTGGTTGTGGTAACCGCCTTGTCTGCCAGATAATATGTACGCTAATTGCATTGAACACCTGCATAGCCTAGCACAAACATAAAGGTTAGGCGAGTTATTCGTGACTACATGAGAGAATCCATTCTTGTCCGCAGGAGAATGTCTCGAGTCCCATGATGCAGATTCGTAACTCATCTCACTTCAGCTCAACCATGTCGTAGTGAAGCATTGCACCTTTCTCATGCCATAGACGTATCGGGCATATGCTGCAAGGTCCACGTTTGTATAAAGCAATCAGCAGAAAAGATATGATGTGGTTAACATTACGTTGGTCGCCGTTACTTCTAAGTACACTTTCTAAAGCATATTTTAGACTGTGTCGATGTGGGAGCCATGTGTCGGTTTAAAAAAAGAACCAACCTGTTATGGGTTTTTAACTGAATGTAGAGCATCAGTAGTTTGATAAGAGGACTGCAGAAGGGTTATCAGTTCTGTATTAATAATACTATTATGTTGTTCGACAGTCCATAGTAATCGATAACTATATTTTATGCATTTTATTGCATTTAAATAAGCCCTGGTTACTATAGGCAACTAGATATATTTGTAACGCAACTTTCTTTTAGCAGGGCCTTTTTTATAATAAAAACATCGCCCCAATATGGTACGCATTTGTTGTTGTTGATTTTTTTAAGTTGTAATCGGCCTGCTACAACTTAGCAGTATAAACGGGAGTTTCTGGGACTTGTACCTTGGTGATTCTCATCCGAATAACGACACTTTGTGTCACCACAGCTTATTTATAGTTAGGACTTTTTTTTACTAGCGGTGAGCAGTAACCGCACTTTTTTTTTTTTTTAGGCATCACATTTATTTTCCAGCGCCAGTGTAACAGACACTTTTTTCTAGACATTTTTGAAGACACTGTGTGGTGAGTACCGTCCCCTTTGTTTCTAGAGGAAAAAAAGGAAGTCCTATTTGTAGTCCAAACCTTTGTTAATATTTTTGCTAAATCATCTGTTCCTCTTTGCATGCCACTAAAGTTTAAACTTACCAGAACAATATCCTCAGCAAAACTGAGATCCTCCAATTGTATGTTATCCATCCAATTACTGTTGGTTGTTTCCAGCACAAAATTGTTTCATCGGTCATTCAATGACAAATACATTCGCTGAGTAGCTTCTACTAGGTCTTTCTTCTTTGTTCACCGGCTGGTAAATCTGGCGGAAAGTCCTGGTTTGCGTCTATTTGGACTTTGGCTTTGTGCCAGGGCCTGAGTTTTGCGTGTACGTTTTTTTACTGGCGTATTTGTGTGCCTTTAGGGGTTCCTTGCCGCTCGGGCAGATGCACTCCGATTTCGAAGGAAGTCCCCCATTAGGCTACTTCTACAACATGCTTGTTGGGGGAGGCAGTCCGTCTGTTCTTGTTTTCCCCACAAAGGGAACTAGAAACGCAAGTTAAAAAAAACGATTAGGAAGATATGGGGGTGAGCTGGTCCGAAAAGTCATTGTGCAAAGAATAGGTGAGAACTAGCTTGGATTCTTTCAAGATACGCCTGGCCAAAATACGAGAAGCGAACAGATTCGGATACACATTAGAGAACACAAGGGCAAGAAAATAAAAAGACTGAACCAGATGGAGGATAACCTAGGAGGGTAAAAAATGTACGGAATACAAGGACAAAAGGAACACACTGGGACAAAGACAGGAAGGAGCGGTCTAGCTATTAGGATAGGAACACAAATCCAGAGAGCTGGCGCATATACCATAGTCCTAGCCACGCAACTAGCACAGGTAAACCAGACTCCAAATATAACCGGAAAGTTGTTAAACGTGGTCGAGTTTTTTTTTTTTTTTCCAACGGTACGGTATGGAGGTGAGCTTCATGCGATAACAAAAGATAAGATAATTTGGTGTGAATTGGTTGAGGGCATACGCTGGGGGCAAGAGCAAAGTTAGAAGAAGAAGAAGAAAGAGAGAGGAGGAGGAGAAAAAGAAGAAGCTATGCTTTGAATTTCACTTATAAGCCTAATGAATGGCAGGCACAGTTGACTAATCTATTGTGTTGTCATAAGGAGATTACTTTGTACTTGTGACGACCAGCCATTTCCTGTTGAATATTATCATTTCATGGACAGATCTGAGTGATCCGACAGGATGAGTCTAATACAAAGCTACGAACAGCAATATTCGTCCGTTACTGCGGATATTACTCACACAATCGGCAGAGTTGCAACATCGCAAGGAGGTATTCATGTCCGTTATTGAATACAGTCGTCTGTTTACTGTTAGTTTTGATCTAGTAATAATTAATTGTACCTTATGATTCTGACTGTCTTAATTAGTAGTATTAGTAAACGAAGGAAGACTGCCGCAGAGTTGTCTGCTAACTTGGTGATTCGTGGAAGTGATTTATTTACGTAGACATTCTGCTGTAAACAGTAATCTTACCCCACTGAAGTGTAATGTTATACTACTACTACATGTAGTATATAGCAGAAAATGTGAAATCCGACGGTACACGATAATTTTTGGTGTCAAACATGGTTCTTAGAATAAGAATACCAGTGGTTAAAGTAAAGCGGATCAACATAATGGCACTGGGTACTAACCCATAAGTGCTCCATTCTTCTTCTAACTCAAGTCTGAGTCTGAAAAAGCTCAGCACAGTGCACAGACTCAGTAGCACCGGCGAAGATCCTGAAATACTTTGGGTAGATTTTAAACTCCAAATTTTGCCATGGCAGCCCCTTTGGCCGCTCTTCTCGATTTCCAACTGCAAATGGATTTTTTAGGTGCGCAGCAATGCACACGGGTGTCTCTATCTCACTACCCAGAAACCAGGGGGGATTACTGGAAGTCCAAGTCCAGGTAAAAAAAACAAATCCCAGCCCTTACATGGATTGAACCTGGAACCTCTGGCGTTCAAGGCAAACACCATGCGTCAAGACCACGCAGCCCCAATACATATACCAGTGGTATTGTTCCCATGGACCAAGAAGAAGAAAAACTTCAGCATCCTGCATGGCCTAAACATCAAGGAGAACTGGTTTAGTTTACAACTAAACAGCGGAAAATCGAAACAGAGATGACTTCTGACTATTTCTAAGTCTTGGCATAGATGCCGAAGTTGAGTAAGAAGAGAAGATATGTCAGATAAAAGAGAATGAAAAATGGGGGAAGATTAATTGGAAAGCTAGTACTTCTGTGTTTTCCCTTAAAAGAGCAGTAAGTATGCTATACTGTAGTTTACAGCTAGGTTGCGATATCTGCACCTTTCTGTCAGACACATTTGATTTCATAAAACAGAATAGGATTGAAATCAGTCACACGTTCCTTAAAGACATTAAACAGCAACAGATCAGATGCCTTTGCCATTTTACCAGAACCAACTGCTATACATAGTTTATTTTCACCACCATTTAACAGAATTTTCTCTATTTGATCTCATTCTGTGATACCTATTCTTTTTATCCTGTGATATCACATCTGACAGGCTTCCGTGTCACATAAGTATAGCTTCCCATGCATGGCATACAATATGTATAGTAATTTGTCTCTCCCCAGCTCATTAGTGATGTTGACTGTTGTCACAGGTTAGGAATATAAGTAGAGATTTTAAAAAGTGGTGTGTCCTTTGCAGGATGTTGCCAAACCAACCCTGCCATTTTGGGCTGTTTGTGATTTTACTAAGAAGTTTTTTTATTACTAGTTTGCCATGGCTTTCTAAATGGCCAGCTTTCGATACCAACGCAAGGCAGTTTGTTGACAAATCGCCTGTTGCCGGGATCAAACCCCGCACCTCTGCATTATAAAGCGCAGTGCCTAAGCGACAGATGCTATAATGTAGCTGGTATGTTAATAGAGATCAACATCCTTTACAGGATGTTGCTTTTCTTACGGCCTGCCTAAAAGTCTCTCTTTCGCTAGCCAATTTTTCAGCCCTGTTTTCTTTCATAGCCTCTTATCTTCAGTGTCCTGTATCCACCTTCACAGAGATCGACCTCTGCCTCCACCTTCACAGAGATCGACCTCTGCCTCCACCTTCACAGAGATCAACCTCTGCCTCCACCTTCACAGAGATCGACCTCTGCCTCCACCTTCACAGAGATGGACCTCTGCCTCCACCTTCACAGAGATCGACCTTTGCCTCCACCTTCACAGAGATCAACCTCTGCCTCCACCTTCACAGAGATCGACCTTTGCCTCCACCTTCACAGAGATCGACCTTTGCCTCCACCTTCACAGAGATCAACCTCTGCCTCCACCTTCACAGAGATCAACCTCTGCCTCCACCTTCACAGAGATGGACCTCTGCCTCCACCTTCACAGAGATCAACCTCTGCCTCCACCTTCACAGAGATCGACCTCTGCCTCATCTTCTAGAAACTGCACCCTCCATAACCATTCTCCCCAGACCCCCATGGCACTTGACATATCCAAAATAGCTCAACTTTTGGGAGAGGATGCTGTTTATGAGCCAGTTCTCCTTGATGTTCAGGTCATGCAGAAGGTTGATATTTTGCTTCTTCTTGGTCCATGTTATTCTAAGAATTTTTCTGTAGCATTTCAGGTCAGAGGCTCTGATTTTCTTCTTCAAAGACTAAGTGAGAGTCTATGACTCACATCCATAAGTTGCCACGGGCAAGATTTATGATTTCAAAATGTTTGCTTTTACTTGCTTGCAGGTGCTGTGCCTTAGGTTCTTTATGCTGTTTAGCTTCTGCATTGCTAAAGCAAATCATTTTTTGACTTCTTTTGTGCAGTCACCATTGTTGATAATTCTTGAGCCTAATTATTATAAATCTGTGACATTTTCTATCTTTTCATTGTTAATGTAATATGTGATTGGTGTGCTATATTTGATTCAGAAATAGATTTCTCTTCTTCACTCTGCATTTTGACAGCCAAAATTAGTTTTTTGTAAACCTTGTAGACTGTTAGAAAGGGGAGCTGCATAGTCTCAAGTCGTGGTGTCCGCCTCGATTCCTAGAGGTCTCGAGTTCAAATCCCAGGGATTTTTTCACATGGACTTCTAGTAATTTCATCTGGTCTCTGGGATGCCCGTGTGTATTGTTGCGTACGTAAAAAATCACTTGGCAGTTGGACATTAAAAAGAGTAGCCTAATGGCACTGTTTGGGCAAAATTTAAAGTTAAAAATCTACCCAAAGCATTTGAGGATCCTTGCCGGTACAGCAGACTCAAGCCTGAGTTAAAAGTGGAACGGAGCACTTATTGGTTACACCCGTGTGCTATAATGTTGATCCGTTGAATATACATACATAAACATGGAAAGGATAACTGTGCTGTATGTATATCTGTGTTCTCGGGTACATCTACCTCCAGTTTTGAGTGGATTGAATTAGTAAAAAAAGATACAGAGAAAAAGATAATCAACTGGCAGATTTGAAACTTTGCTTATAGGTGTTGTTGATGTGGTCACGAAAGTTCTTTCTGATTTCTGATACTCTGGCTCCACTTAGGCTAAGTATGTTTTGTAAGGCAATATGATTGTATCCCTTTCTGTCTTCTGAGTCTCCATTTTGGGCAGATGGTGCGGATATCACAGCTTAGCTGCAAACCACAACATAATGTGTTAACTGTCCTTTTAAGTGTGAATGAAGAAGAATAAGTATTCTGATTTTGAGCTGTACTTACATTGCTGCAAAATTATATGTACATGATGAATGTAATAAACAACATCAAAAGTTTGTGGTTAGTTAACCAGCAAGGAAATGAAGGTCATTATTTTTTCCTGTAGCAACATTTGGGTGTAAATCATGGATTATCTCACAGCCATTTTGGAAAGAAATAGGATCTGCAGAAAGATTCTCAGAATACTGTAAACAAAGAAGAAGAAAAATTTCAACAACCTAAAATATCTGAACATCAAGGAAGATGTCTAGTAAACAACATCTTGTAACAAACACTGAAATAATTTGGCCATATGAAGAGCCACGGTGAGTTAGAAAGAATAGTAACATAGTGACAGGAGCCAGCCAGCATGAAGATGTGCACAGAAACGCCTTGGGTAGGAAACTACACGAGATCTGGCAAGAGACCGAGTTTCTTTCAGCAAGCTGTAAGGAGGGCAATGTTCTGCCAAGGACCTTCAGTCTTCATCAAGACCCGTGGCCTCCCAGTCTGAAAACCACTGGCAGGGAGAGTGAAAAGCAGAAGAAGAAGAAGATGTATCTTACTGTACAGTAGCTGTGTTTTACTGAAAAGCAAAACTATGTCAGACAAGCTGAATTTAGTGAATTACTAGTAGCCTTTAGTCCAGATGGCCAATAGCAGGCTGATCCTGAAAAGTTATTTGTTTGCAGCTGTTTTTTGCTAATGCAAATTCCTCATTTTTGGGCCAGGCGTTAATGGATTCTGTCACCCAGCTACTGAGTTGAGTGTTTTGGTGCGACAATAAACTGTGGATTTCATGATAATGTTTTTTCTTTTTTTTGCCCACCACATGTTGTTGACTGCACTAAAATTGTGGGTTGCCCCTACATTCAGAATGTGTTGGCTTTCATGGTTGATCTTTTGTGCAAACTGTGTGCTGTAGTTCTGGTGTTGGCACATCTGACAGCTGCCTTATCCAAACTTTGTGAGTGCAAGCTTCAAGATATTTCTGGGACTGACAAGTTTTTCATTAATTTTCATATGGTTCTGGGAAAGACATTTTGCACAGGAATGGAGCAATTATAACGTATGCAGTGAAGTTGGAACCTTAACTGGTGACTGACGACTTGCTAAATGTACACTTTATTGTGTATAAATATTGCAGGTTTATAGAAATATTCATCATATCTTTATGCACCCCTTGCCTTGAAATGGCCAGTCTGTACTGCTTTGAAAGATGTGACTACTAAAAATGCTTTTTTTTTAAAATCAATTAGCCGAGAAGCAGAGCTATGTCAAGCAAGCTGAAAAACTCTTTGATGAAGCTCATGAGCTGGTGAGTATCTGTTCTATTTTGAATTTATTTATATTTTTTTAGCATCAAACTAACATAAGTTAGCTGCGTATCTTGTTGTCTGTTTTTGTTTGATTTTACTAGTCAACTGTACATTCTGGTGTCAGCTGCCACAAAAGTGCAACTCTGTTGCAGAATTATAATGATCATAGAGCATGGGAAAGATGATGCAAACAGTGCCATAAAGGACAACCTTAAAGAAATGAAGACCACTTTATGTAATGCATTCGATAGAGCACACACATTATCTATTTACCCCCCTCCCCCTCACCAAAACACCTTGTAGCTGTTGGAAGAAAAGAAGTAGTAGTTTTCCGTTGCTTCCCCAGTGGTTCCATTCGTACCATTGTCACCTCCAAATGACTTCCAGACCCCTATCTTAGGAAAGGAGGGGGGGGGGGATTATAGACACATTGCTTCTATAACAAACAAGTCATAAAAGCAACTAACTAGTGATGTATTAAAGCTAACCAATAATTTGGGACAGCCAGCCCCTCTTCCCTCCTCTTTCAGCTTAAGAAATCCCGATCAGCACAAAGAAACATCTCAAACTAAGCATTTTCATGTCCATTCTATGCTGCCAGTGTCAGATATGGGTACTCACAGCAAACCAGAAAAAAAAACACAAATTAGTAACCATGAAAAGCATGCATAGTCTGAGAAGTTCTGCAGAAGTGACTAGATTAGATCAAATCAGGAACGAGGTCAGAAGAAAAACACTTTGGGACAGAATCAATTCTAACTTAATACAGAGACAGCAGATCAAATGGTTTGCCTACGTAGAGAGAATGCCTTGTGATGCCTTACTATACAAGGCATACACTGAAGGAAGAGAAGGATGTAGAGCACAGATTAGATCTAGAACAAGATGGAAGATAAGATTTTGAAAACTGTACAACAGCACAGTATGTCTGTACTCGATGTGGCCAGAGCAAGAAGCACAACCTTTGTCTCCCTCAACACCCAAAGCGGTAAAACAGTTAGTGAAGAAAAAGAAGAACTAGAGATGTTTCATACACACTCGTAGTGTGTCTACCTGAGAGACAAGGCAGCAACTATATTCACTGTCTGTCAACTCTGGCAGAAAGTTCTGGTTGTTCATCCAGTTATTGACTTTAGTTTTTTCACTTATTTGTGTGCAGACTGTTGGTTCCTTGCTTGTCAGTCATATTCACTCTGACTTTTAGGAATCGCCCCTAATTAGTTGCCATTTACAACCTGCTCGTTAGGCAGCAGTGGGTCTGTTCCTTTTGTTGTCAAAATTGGGCACTGGAACACGTGTCTGGAGACCTGGCACCAAGTTATTCTTCATGGGTACTGTGTTGCAGAGCTTATTTTCCCTCTCCAAGCACAGAAAATGGCAATATATGGATAAGTAAAATCAGTACCAAAATATACTAGATGTTCACATCTATGGAAAGATGTGTTAATATATAAAGTAAAAAGAAAGGTCAAAGACACTTGTCACACCATTGGCACAACAGGCATAAGATGTGAGACTTATATTTGTATAGACCAGTCGACGCTCAGTGGGGCGGGGGAGAAGGTAGTCAGCATCCCGCCAACCGCCTTTACTTCCCAGACATTACCTGGTACCCATTTTAGGCTGGGTATACCTGAAAACCAAGGTGAATTTTGAAGGGGAAAAAAATGGGCTGTGGTGTGGAATCAAACTCAAGACCTTTGGTCCAGCAGGTGAACATTTAGCCACTATGCTAACTCTGCTCCTTTTTAAAATTTCGTTTTTTAGCATGCACAAGTAATGTAAAGGACTGTTTTCTTTGCTTTTAGACACATTGGGTTCTTTTGTAATATCCTACCCCAGATGACGTCACAGGCAGTCCAGCATTTTAGAGGGTGGTAAGACTGGGTTTTTTGGCTTTCTATTGCTTTTAACGACCCCAAAACATCTAGAACTGGTCCTAACCCAAACCCACTTACGTCCCATGAGAGAGTGCAGCCTAGGTCCAATGACTGCATGCAGCCTAGGTTCCACGAATGCATGCAGCCTATCTACCACCCCCTGAAATACTAGACTGTCCCGTGACCTGTGGATTTCCCCTGTTTGGGCTAGGATATTAAGAAAGCACTCCCATGACTTTAAAATCTGCAGGCGGGCATCTATCCGCTACACCACACTGTCTTCCTCTTAGCGTGTAACCGTGCCATTGTTCAGCGCAGCTTATATAGACCAGCTTAGATTAGGCAGGCAATATTTTCCACCCACAGCTTTTAGATATTTCACTGTCAGCAGACAACAGACTGCAGTCCGCTGCCCTGAGCCAAGGGCAGGGGGAAACTACTGTGGTATCTGTCCGTTCATAAATCATACATGTCATGAATCATTCCAAGAGGAGCAGCTGGCCAGACAGTTAGAATGCAGGGTTCTCATGGGGGAAGACCCAGGTTTAAATCCTTGCTAAGGTTATGGAAATGTTTCTGTCGGGGGGGGGGGGAATCCGAAACTGCACAGTACATGGCAACAGCCCTATCCATGCAGCTGTAAATTCTCATGTTCAAAGATCCTCCTCCCATACCACACAAAAATTGAGAAATACAGGCAGCAATAGTAGTTAATGGCATTGGGAGTACTGAACATTAGTCTGGAGATGGGTAGATGCAAGTACGGTCAAGGGCCCTTGTCCTGCTGTTTGTGACTCAGGCATATGGTGTTAGATAAATGTTTTTTAGAGAGCAGTCGGCACTCGATGGGTACGCAGTTTGTTGAGTTAACCTAAGAGAATCGGCGTCTCAGGCTTAGGTGTTTTGAACACACTTCATAATGTCGGGGTGCTGGGTTCGTTCCCAGCTGCGAGCAATTTATCTTGTGTTGATTTTGACAGTGGTCCCGACAGATGACTATTCAAAAAGCAGTGGCAGACTGCTGAACGTAAAGTATGACTAGAAAAACCACAAAAGCCAAATAATGCTGGGGTTGGTTCTGCAAAGTCCTGTAAAGGATACGCATCTAACTTTTAACCTAAGAGAAAGGCTTATCATAAAAAATCTTACTCAGGGCCTCTTTGAACCCTAGAACTTCAGGCTAGCAGGCAAGCCTGCTGCCACTGCACTACTTTTGCTCCCCTGGATTTGGAGACGTCTCTCTACCTTCATGCCTCACCAGTCACAGATACTCTCTTCTGCTGCACTATCCGCTTGATCCCGGAAAACCATCATGACATCCACCTTTTCATAAAGTAGCTTGCTGCTAAGAGGATAGAGAGCAGTAACCTTCTGTTATTGCTCATTGCCTTAAATATCTTTCTTTCTTTTTTTTTTTTTTTGAGGAGTCTTATAGTGTGTGTGTCCTGTAATCTAATGGAATTCTTTGGTAAACAGTGAGTGAAGCATAAAGCTCACACAGTCTATATTATCTAGAACTTTAAACAATGTGTTGTTTTTTTTCCTTCAAATCAGCTGGAGCAGATGGAGCTTGAGGTCAAGGAACAAGAACCCAGAGAGAGACAAAAGTATCACACCCGTGTCAAGAGTTTCAAAATTGAGCTGACAAAATTACAGTCTGACCTTGTGAGTACCACATCATGATCATACAGAATCACAACCATATTGTTTTATATATATATTTTTATATATGGTTAGTTCCACGATAGTTCCCCCCTCGCCGAAGACCGCCCATTACACAATTATCACTTCTGATCCTAATGACAGCATTAACCATCTAACAAGAAGGGACCAGGCCACCATCTTCAGACTTAGAACGCAACATACTCCACTCAGTGGACATCTAAACAGAATACAGCCACAACACTCCCCAAAGTGCCAGCTATGTAACTACCCCTACGAAACTGTTGAACACCATCTCTTTGAGTGCCCAAAACTCAGCGAGACTAGAAGAATGCTACTCCCTCTGAGACCAGACAAGTGGAACACCTTGTACGGAGGAAAAGAACAGCTTGTGAAAACATGCAAATTCCACTACATGGCATTGGGCCAAAGGGCGAAAGCTCATGCGCCACTGGATTGATGACAACAACTCACTTCTGATTGGTCGGCCTTGAGTTACCCGACCTTGGCACAAGGTGACGACAGGCATTCTCTTTCTCGGAAGAAAAACGTAAATGCAAGACTAGCCAGAAAGCAAACAACAGAGCGACATATATAGAAAACTTATCTCTGTGATATCTCCTCCACAATAATGGTTGGCTGGCTGCAGCAATGCTGAAAATGATATCTTTAAAACAATGAAGGTGGCAATAATGTGTACTGTTGTATACTGCCAGAAAAAAGCTATAGGTGTGTGTGTGTATATATATATATATATATATACTCATACATGAACACTACATGCACTAGCGATTACGCTAGTGTGTGTGTGTGTGTGTATATATATATATATATAGACACAAAATTGACACCATTAGGGACGGCTGAAACACACTGTTAGCGTAATTGCTAGTATACGTACTGAGAATTGTCGAGGAAGGAAAGGTTTCAAGGGAGGGAATCTGTGAAGGCCTAATGTTTTCCACCAGGTGGTAGTAACTGCTGCAAAACTACTTTTAACTTAACTGCTTCCCAGTAGAGTCATAAATATTTATAACAATAAATAAGACACAGACAATGCTGTCTTTGGTCAAGTAAGTTTTAGAGTCTTGGATATTTGAAACGAAAAACGTTACCTTTGGTCAAGTACATTTTAAAGTCGTAGATATTTATAGCAATAAATAAGACAAATATAATGCTTCCTTTGGCCAGGTACTTTTTAGAATCATTTAAATAAAAAACTATAAATAATTTTCGCGCCACTGATGCATAAGATTGTTTGTTTGTTTTAGTATCCAGAAGGCATGAGTTGTTAACCCTTAGGCTCAGTATTATGGATATCTCAACCTTTCGGCCTTGATTCCATTGTAAATATCGTAAATCTGGAAGAAATGTGGCTTTTCTGCCTACCTCCGGGAGTGAACCCCGACCACAAGGAGTTAGTCACCGCGCAATCCGGTTTAGCCAACTATGCTAGAGAGCCCAGCCTAAGGCATATGATATGCTCATATATTTATGGACCAATCAGTCCTTGAGGGGTCAACATTACACCAGTTGCCTTTGGATGAATCAGCCCTTGATGGGTGGTGTGGTCAACTTTACACAAGTTGCCTTTGGATGAATCAACCCTTGATGGGTGGTGTGGTCAACTTTACACCAGTTGCCTTTGGATGAATCAACCCTTGAGGGGTGGTGTGGTCAACTTTACACAAGTTGCCTTTGGATGAATCAACCCTTGATGGGTGGTGTGGTCAACTTTACACCAGTTGCCTTTGGATGAATCAACCCTTGAGGGGTGGTGTGGTCAACTTTACACCAGTTGCCTTTGGATGAATCAACCCTTGAGGGGTGGTGTGGTCAACAATACACAAGTTGCCTTTGGATGAATCAACCCTTGAGGGGTGGTGGGGTCAACTTTACACCAGTTGCCTTTGGATGAATCAACCCTTGATGGGTGGTGTGGTCAACTTTACACCAGTTGCCTTTGGATGAATCAACCCTTGAGGGGTGGTGTGGTCAACTTTACACCAGTTGCCTTTGGATGAATCAACCCTTGATGGGTGGTGTGGTCAACTTTACACCAGTTGCCTTTGGATGAATCAACCCTTGAGGGGTGGTGTGGTCAACATTAGACCAGTTGCCTTTGGATGAATCAACCCTTGATGGGTGGTGTGGGAAAACAGGTCTTTCTTGATCGTCTTTTCTCCTCTTTCCTTTTACAGAGCCCTGTAATATAGGTTTGCAGAGACCAGTAGATCTTATGACATATCCGCAAAATTGCATTAGTTTACAGAATTCCAGCATTTTGAATCCTTTCTCATTGGTGCTTTTACTAAAGAAAGGTAATAACATAACACATGTGTTTTTTTTTCCAGTCTACTTGCATGTCGAACACATTCCAGTGCTTGTTTTTAATATTTGGCTGCTGTTGATAACTTTTACCATTACTTGTTTGCAAATGTAGGGTTGAAATTTGTGAAAGGAGTGTGAAATTATTAAGGCAGAATGTTAGACAGGCCTGCATGTTGAATTCTTAACCCTTTGATAATAAAGTATTTTGTTTGTTTGTTCATTCAATTGTTCTATTCAAATTTACCTTAAGTGTTGCAATCTGCCAGAATTATCAGTACATCTTTGGTCAGTGCTGTTTTGGAGTTTGCTATAAAAGGCCTGAGTAGTATTGTTATCAGGGAGCCACAGTGGTGTAGCAGCTGTACGCTCACTTGCAGATTGGAAGGTCGTGGGTTGGGGTCCTGACAAAGCTGGATTTTGTTTTTAAATTACCTCGGCTGTCAAGTCGACTTAGCCTTGAGTGGGTACCAGGTGCAGTCCTGGGAAGTAAAGGTGGCCGGAAGTAAAGGTGTTGACCACATCACCCACCAGCTGCTGATCGGTCTATAAAATAAAGGTCTAGACCATATGCCCAATAAGCCTAAATGTGCAGAAAAGAGTTCTTTACTTTTACTTTATTTAGTATAATCATCATAGTCTGTAGTTGGAGCGTAGACTGTGCTGTTAAAAAGGATTGCATTTAAGCGTATAGATATGAGCCTGTTTAAGATAGGATAGCATACAATAATTGTGTTCCTCCTAATGTTTTTATGCACAAGAAATCCAACTATGTTTACTCTTTTATCCTTCTCAGTGAAGTGAAAATCATTTATCCTCCATCCTGGAGTAAAATGCATGTCGCTGATCTGTTATTATTTCTCAGATTCCTTTCCCCTGGTTTTTGCACCTATTATTACCTCTGTAGCTCATGTTGTACATTCTGTTACCGTGTTTCTTCCTTGCAAATATTTCCCTTTTTTTCTTTTTTCTTTTTTTAATAAAGTCACATTGTCTTCTTCTTCTTTTTCTATTCCACCTTTTACCTCATCGAAGTGTCGGGAGAGATGTAGCATTCGTTGTTGAGCTCTGTCAAGAGCATTTTCAAAATTGATGTTCATTTGTGTAAGGCTGTTCTTAATGCCATCACTCCATATTTTCCGAGGTCTTCCACTCGCTCTGTACCCACATCTCTGTAAATTAGGAATCAATCACAGTAAACGAAAACTTTTATTTGTTTTGCAGAAAAGAGCCAAGCTTGGTATTGATGCAAACAGAGATGAGTTGTTAGGTGATGATACTCATGAGTCAGAGGATCAGGTAAGGATTTTTGAAGTATGAGTGAGAGGATCAGGTAAGGATTTTTGAAGTCTGAAATCTCACATGCATACACAGACATGCATATATATACGTGTGTGTGTGTGTGTCCGTATATATATCTATTTGTTAATTTTTTAAAGCCCCAAGTTTAGTAATCATTTCAGGTTCCATGTACATGCTTCAGTAACAATAGGTAATCTCTACTCTAAAAAAAACTAGACAGCATTCAGAAGTTGCACTTCACTTCCCTTACCTGGATATACATGTCTAGGCATGCAACAGTAAAAGGTAATCATTGAGTGGACCATCTGCCAAGTAATGCAGCACTACATGCTGGGTGAAGTGTGGACAGACCAGATGCTGTCAACACTCTACAGCAGTGGTTCTCAACCTTCCTAATGCTGCAACCCTTTAATACAGTTCCTCTAACCCCTAACTATAAAATTATTTTCATTGCTACTTCATAACTTCAGTGAATATGTGTTTTCCGATGGTCTTAGATGACCCCTGTGAAAGGTTCATTCCACCCACAGGTTTAGAACCCCGCTGTACAGGCTAGGCTAGTGTGTAAACATGAGTCTCCAACTTCTGATGGGAACAGTACAGTAGATTTACCTTGGGGTTGCTGCTGCTGCATCTGAGGACTCAGCACACGTGGGAATGCCCAGTGTGCGGTGTCCTTGATTGTGATAACATAATATATGCTTTTGAATAGAAAGACATGAAAGCATGAGTTTTCTTGAATTAGCTTGTTGGGACTATGAGCGTCAGCATTGTGATCACATGTTTAAAACTCCTCAAGGCGGAGATTTTTATATAGTAACTCTCCCAGGTCAACCTAATCTTAAAATGTAGGGAACAGAAAGATTTTTGGAAAGTCAAGGTGGCTGGCAAGACATTGACATCATCAACACTGTGTACTTTTTCTTCTTCTTCTTCACTTCCTGTTTCACTGCTTCAGGTGTCATGTGAGATTACAGGTTCTGCTTCCTGCTCTTCTGGCCACCTTGACCATTCGTTGTAGTGTTTCTCCGATGTTATCTTTCTGTCTTGTTCTTCGTTTATGTTGTGCTGTATGTCCTTCTCCTCTTTTGAAATACAGACGATTAGTCTAAAAATATGGGGCACGTACCATATAATGACATTAAATGAGGGCTTTAATTTTAGTTGTTGTTGCTTTTGCTAGAGCTAGTAGGAAGCTACAGTAAAATGGCCAAAAGTTCTAGGGTTCTCATCTGCAACAAGGCAGATTTATTTCAAAATTAGCCTTAGCTTGCAGATTGACCCAGCCTAAAATAGGTACTAGTAATGTCCAAGAAAGTGAAAACGGTCAGCGTGTAGTTGACCACATCACCCATTGAGTGCCACTTGATTTGTAACATTATAAGTTTATGTCTGGTGCGCCAAAATGTTGGGAAGGGTCCATTTTTAGATCTTGTGGGTTGTTGTTTAACATAACATCACTGCTCATCGCAAGACATTGGACAAGGTTGTTTCAGGTGTGTGAATCCACAGACAACAAACAGTGTTCAAATGCCTCTTCTTTTATTAGTTTGAAAAGATAAAAGGTTGTTCCTCGTGTGGGTTCCGGGGCCCTGGTATAGGGAAAACAAGAATAGACCCACTGCCTACCCAAAAGCATGTCGTAAGAGTACTAACTGGGAGCTTCCTTCAAAGTTGGAGTGCATCTGCCTGAGACTCAAGGAACCAGCAGTTTGCATACAAATGAGTCAGATCTCTAAAACGGATGCACATGCAAAACTCATGTTCTGGAACAGGACTGCAGTCAGAAGTAGATAAAAAAACCAGAACTTTCCGCCAGAGTTTAAAGCTGGAGAACGCGAAGAAGAAGAAGATAAAAGGTTGTACAGATGTTATTTGTAAGAAGCTTCTACTCTTTATGACAAAAAAAAAAAAAAAGCAAACCAGTTAGTTTTCTATTCAGTTAATTACAAACATAACTCAGCCTAAATTGGGTATCAAAAAATATTCTAGAAGCAAAGGTGGCCAGAATAATGGAGTTGTAGACATCACCCATCAAGTGTTAATTTTTCTATAAATGTATGGGTCTAGCATCTATATTTGATACGTAATTAGCGTGAAAATGATTCTTCACCTCTACTTTTGTTTAGAATTTTTTTTTTTTTAAATAGATTTTTACATCACATGATAAACATTTTTTCCAGCGAGCAAGACTGTTAGACAACACAGAAACTTTAGAAAGATCCTCTCGTCGATTAGATCACGGCTATCGAATTGCTTTGGAAACTGGTAAGTCTTTAATAATCTTCACAGTTATTGTAATCTTATGACAGACTGCAATAAGACTGAACAATTCTTTACAGTTAATTTAATCCTATGACAGTCTATTAATTTAATCCTCTGACAGTCTGCAATAAGTCTGGAATATTCTTTGCTATTTATCTTGTAACGGTCTACAAAAAGCTTGGAATGTTTTTCACGTTATTCAATTTTGTGACCATCTTTGAATCATGTATTAGAAGTTTGCTCAGTTATAGTCAGTGAGCATGCAACTCAGTGAGCATACTGCAGAAGATCAAGGCAGGGTACATAAGGAAACTGTGGTTCCATCTGATACAGCACACAGTGTTTTGCAAAATCACCTTCATTTTTGTCCCAGGGCAAGCTGGTGTGAGAGGCAGTGAGAGGGCCGATGCTCTGGCTGGCAGTGTGATGCTCAGGAATGTGCCCTCTATGGACAGGGGAGACATTGTCAATGCCATGCGAGAGACTAAACGCAGTGAGGCTTTAAGTTTCTTGGAAAATGATTTTTTCACTGAATTGACAGCTTATCCTGGGTGTACCAGTTGGAGCCGCGAGACAGGAAGACACACTTGGGAGCCACCTTTTGTTACATCAACCAGAAGAGAATGGGAGTTGTTAGTCTAAAAACACTTGGACACATACTCGGGAGGAGATCACAACACTTACAAGGTCTGACAATTAAGTAATGAGACTGATTTTATTACGGCCAAGACAAAAGTGCCATAAATCAAGCAAAACATGGAATTAAAAGAGGCAACCTTCATCTATGATATGGCAACTTTGCATCGCCGCCTGATAAGCAGACGACAAACAAGCCACCATTTTTTTGACCTAGCTAGATGTGCATTGTTACAAAATCAGCATGGAGCAAAAAGCTAACATTGAATTTTGTTTAAAACTTTAAAAAAGCGCTATTGAGACAGTTGAATTGATGTCACAAGTTTATTTGGATAAGCCAGCACCAGCACAGATTTTTGAAAAATTACTAATGCAATTAGACCTTGATGCCCAATTTCTATTTATAATGATAAACTCATTGCAGAAGTCACAGAACAGATACAAGAAGATCATTGTTTCACTGTCAGGATGATGGGTGATGAATCTGGTGTTAATAGAGAGACCATTCGTAAAATTTTAGTGCAAGATTTTTACAAGAAAAAAATTGCTTGCCGGTTTGTACCACATTCGTTGTCTGATGACTAAAAACATCAGTGGGTTGAATACCCACGAGACATCATTAGAACAAGAATTTTTGGCCCCAAAATAAGTGTGTGCTTTCAACCATTCACCATATTCCCCAGATTTGTCTCCCTGTGATTATTTTCTGCTCCTAAAATGAAAGTTACCATTGAAAGGACCCTTCTTTGACGATATTGATGACATTCAAAGGGCCGTAACATCGACTTTGAGGGCCATAGCAACAAAAGAACTACAGATGTCGTTTCAGTGTTTGTTAGATCGTGCTACTCACTGTATCAATGCACAAGGGGCTTACTTTGAATAAGTACAGGTTAAATCTTGAATTGTTAATTATTTCAATTTTTATGTATTTAGTCTCATTTCTTAATTGTTGGACCTTGTATGTCCAATATGTGATGAAGATGATCTCTGAAGTGAACAGTGAACAATCTGTTATAGTCAGTGATATCAGCAGGGGACACACAAGTACAGAGGTTTCAGTATCACATGGATATCACTGGAAGAAAGAACTTCACAGAGATAACAGAATAGGGCATTGCAAACACTACATTTTATCAAATGAAACAATTCCAACCCATTTCAGGCCCTGGTGATTTAATGCTAAAGCATTGCACCTAAACAGTTTAAACTTCCGGAGAATTCATAACTAGCCCTGTCAACACCCACCAGCAACCCTGCTTTAGGTTCAAAGCTAAAATACAATAAGCATACGTGAATGATGTTTCCTCACTTACACTGTTTCTAAAGTAATAAACAAATGTATTAAAAAACGGTGTAGAATTGACCACTGACTCTTCGTGAACATGAATAACTCTGTTGATGGTCCTGTTTTCTCTTGGATGTTTTATGGCCTAGATATGCACAGAATTTGGCATAGAAAGGAACACAAAAATAGTCAGATGTACAGGGTTTTAAAGACCAGCGGATTTACTTCATTGCACTGGGTTTCATCCCATATGGCACAGCCTCTCAGCAGAGCAGCACAAAGTCTGCAGCTCTCGCGATGACTAACAGGTGTCTCCAAACCACCTACACTTACACTGAAGGGCAAAGTCCAGAATCCAACCCACAACCTTCAAAGTAAACTGAATAAATGGCTGAACCACTTTTCCACAGAGACAGACAGTTAAAAATGATTTGCTCAGTATTGTTCCTATATAATCAGTTGCATTGTTTTTGTCTAATTTTAGAACAGATCGGAAGCCAAATTATGGAGGATCTGCACACGCAGAGACAGACAATTAACAGATCTAGAGGAAGGGTAGGTACACATTAATTGTGTGAGTTGATATTCCAGAAAAATGTTACTTTAAAAAAAAAATTTTTTTAATTACATACAGTGGTATGGTAATGTATGTGTCATGCGGCTGTAACTGTTCACTGTCACTGCACACAGATATTTCTTTAAGCTCAGTGATCTGGATTGCTGACTCATCTTCTTTTGCCTAAAAGAATCTCCAGAATCTGTACAGCTGTAGATACATTAAGAAGGGTATTGTAGGTTGTAAGGTAGTCACTATGGTGTAGTGGCTACATGCTCACCTGTGGGTCTGAGGGTTGCTGTTCGGATCTTATCAGAGCCAGACTTTTTCAGATCGATCCAGCCTTAAATGGGTGCTAGGTGGAGTCCTGGACAGTGTGATATTGACCATATCGTCCACTGAGTGCTGATTGGTTTAAAAGAGTTCCTCTCAACCTTTCTAATGCCACTACCCTTTGATACAGTTCCCTCATGTTGTGGCGACCCCCAAACAGTCATTTTCCTTCATAACATCAGTGAACATGTGTTTTTCTTTGGTCTTAGGTGACCAATATGAAAGAGTCGTTTGACCCTAAAATGGGTTGCGACCTGCAGGTTGAGAACCGCTGGTTTCGAAAATATTGGTACAGCCATATATGCTCAATACGCCTGAAGGCGTAGAGAAGGATTCTTTTTTTTATTGTAGGTTGTAAGAGAAAGGACACATGGCCAGAGAAATAGAGCTTTAAAAACAATTCTGAGAAATGAATGAGAGACTGAAGTTAATATGATGATAAGTGGCTAGCTGAAGGGTTAAAACGCTTGGCTTTCATTTGAGAGACCCTGGCTCAGATCCTCAAAAAAGTGATGGAACATTGTTTTATGTTGAGGTCAACAACAACAAAATCTGTACACACACAGTTTGTGGTGACTGACTGGACTAGCCCTGAATCCTCATGTTCGGTGCCCTTTTACTTACGTAGCCCTTAAAAGTGATAAATAAAGACACACACAGTAAAGATTTTGGGCAAGTTAGAGAATGACCTTTACCTAATGGCAAAGGATAGGATAACTTGGCGTGAGTTGATTTTGGGGGGACCATGTTTCTTAGGGTAAGTCACTGCAGTAAATGGTTAAATAGAAGCAAGACATAAAGTCAGCTGTTTGTTGCTTTGTTGCTGCAGTAAACAGTTAAGAGAAGAGTAAGATAAAATTAGCATTAAGTCACATTGTTACTGCAGTAAACACAGATGAGGCATGATAACTACAATACTTTACAATACATTTACAATATCTTTATTACTATAATAAACATTTAAAATAACAAGATAATTTCAACATTAGGTCACTGTAGTCAGTTTAAAAAAAATAATGAGATATAATGGACATTAACTCTTTGAGTCCCAAGGAACGCATCACACGCTAATTTTTTTACTACTTGGCGGCCCAAACAGCGCATGACGTGTGACGGTTTTTAATTTACCACTTATCGGTAATTACACTTGGACCGCTCAATTTAAACTTCCTTTCCGGTTCTCAAGTGTGTAGTGTACACACGTGGAGTGCATTCGTTTGGGTCTGGTGAGTTTTTAACGCTTTAAATCGATATTTGTGTGGTCTACTACGTTACCAAACAATTGTCTGAAAACAATATGTCCGATCAGTCATCGTCTTCACGCCCATCAAAGCGATTTACTGCTTTAGAATCATCAAATTTGATAAAACAGTGGATCAATTAAAGTAATGTGGAGTTGGATAATGATAGTAGCGACGTGAAATTTCCCCAAACCGTTGACGAGTCAAGTTTTGATGAGGATGTGTGCGTAATTTACCTCCTGCTAAGAGGACAAAACTGACTAATTCTGCCTTAGCAATACAAGAGAAGCACCTCGTAACGCGACACCAGCTAGTCCAAATGTCAGCGCTTCTAGTACTACTATCCATATCATCTAAAACCATAGATATATATATCTATGAACAGATTGACATGTTTACAGTGCCTTTACAGTTTTTTTGTATGTGAGGAATTCAATTATTTTTAGAAAAGTCACTGTTTGTGCCACTGGATAATATATTTTGACGTGTTATTGTAGTGTTATTAAAATTAGTATGGAACAAAAACTATTGCACATTTTGCTTTAATAATGGCTGTGCATACTTATAAGTGGTGTACCTTCCTTTGTGATGCATTTTGGATATACTATATCAAGAATTTTGGGATCAGCTTCTGGGTAAGTGGAAAAAACTTGTTCATAATTTACTCACCTCTCAAACTAAGTCACTGTTTTCTCTACTAAATACTAACTAACAGTATAATTGTTTGTTGTAACAGTATGCTAATATTAATCCTTATCCATTTATGTTTAATTTTATGTATGATATGTGTATGTTGGACATCAGCTGCAGTTGTGAGGTTTGTTTTAAAATGCTGCATTTGTTAAAAGTCAAAATCATATTACCCCCCTTGGGCCTCTGGTGCAAAACCCCCTGGGACTCAAAGAGTTAAGTCACAAGTCACATTGTTACTGCAGTAGACTCAAATGAGGCAGGGCAGTAACACTGTATACCTTTGTTACTGCACTGATCAGTTAGTTGAAGGAAGAACTAGATAATATCAACATCAGGTCATTGCAATTAATAAAGAAGAATAAGATAAAATTAACATCAGGTCAATGCAGTCAATGAAGCGTGATGATAAAATCAACATCAGGTCATTGCAATCAGTAAAGAAGAATGCGATAAAATCAACATCAGGTCATTGCAATCAGTAAAGAAGAATGCGATAAAATCAACATCAGGTCAATGCATTGAATAAAGAATAAGATAATATCATCAGGTCATTGCAGTTACTAAAGAAGAATAAGATAAAATTAACATTAGGTCATTACAGTTAATAAAGAAGAATGAGATAAAATCAACATCAGGTCATTGCAATTACTAAAGAAGAATAAGATAAAATTAACATTAGGTCATTACAGTTAATAAAGAAGAATGAGATAAAATTAACATCAGGTCATTGCAATTAATAAAGAAGAATAAGATAAAATTAACATTAGGTCATTACAATTAATAAAGAAGAATGAGATAAAATCAACATCAGGTCGTTGCAATTAATAAAGAAGAATAAGATAAAATTAACATCATGTCAATGCAGTCAATAAAGAATAAAGATAATATCATCAGGTCATTGCAATTACTAAAGAAGAATAAGATAAAATTAACATCATGTCAATGCAGTCAATAAAGAATAAAGATAAAATCAACATCAGGTCATTGCCATCAGTAAAAAAGAATGAGATAAAATCAACATCAGGTCATTGCAGTTAATAAAGAATAAAGATAAAATCAACATCAGGTCATTGCAATCAATAAAGAATAATGAGATAAAATCAATATTTAGTCACATTGTTACTGCAGTAAGCAAATACAACACTTGGTACCCTTATTACTACAGCGAAAGTTAAGTGAAGCCTGGAATAAAATGAACAGCTTTGTATATTTCTTTTCAGCTGCAAGAGATGGACTCTGCTCTAGGGAAAAGCTCCAGAGTTCTCTCTGGGATGATGCAAAGGTAAACATATAGTTCCTTGGTTGCCAGTTAACTAAGACTGTAGACGCTTCTTGTTTTTGAAAATCTGGCACGAACCCAATACCTTTTAATAGTGATACCGAGGAACTTATAATTTATGAATATTAGAATCACAAGAATGATTGCATTGTAAAGTTGGCGGGTTTAGTATGTTGTAATGATATCATGTATAATAATACATATATAATAATCTGGCAAGCAGTCCAAACCAACAACCAGTGACCGTAAATAACCAAACTCTTGAAAATGTAGAACATTTCACATATCTTGGCAGTGTGGTGTCCCTACCGGGAGGGACCAAAGAGGACATACAGTCACGTCAAAACAAAGCTAGAGCTGCTTTTTTAAGGATGAGGCAAATCTGGAAATCCAACGATTACTGTAGAGGAACGAAACTCCGACTCTACAAGAGCATCATTTTGCCAGTTCTTCTTTATGGAGCGGAATGCTCAAGAATGACCAAAAATGATGCACATAAGCTGTCTACCTTCCACCGCACATGTCAGCGTAGAATTATCAAAATTTTCTGGCCTGATACAATCTCAAACACTAAACTACTTCAAGTCACAAACCAAGAAACTTTAGACAATATGATAACCAAGAGAAGATGGAAATGGCTTGGCCACATGAGAATGAATCCTGATATACCTGCCAAAACGGCTCTCACATGGACACCAGAGGGAAAGAGAAAACAGGGGCGCCCAAAAACAACATGGAGAAGAACGATGGAAAGTGACCTGAGTGCGGCATCTTTGACATGGAAAACTGCACCAAAGATTGCACAGGACAGGAAAGCATGGAAAGTCCTCTCTGAAGCCTTATGTGCCACTGGGCACTACGAGAACTGAAATGATACCATGGATCTTTATATTTGTTGCATGAACTTTCCGCTGGCTCAGGACCACCAAATGTTTTTAAAACTCCATGAAGGACCGAGCACAAGAGTCTTCCAATCATCAGAAAATAAAACCCTCCTTCTCTGGAGGTTTCTGCCCTTTGACCTTCTCTACAATCTCTGAGGGCAGCCCAACCCAGGGATGCGACTCCCTGGTTTTGTGGCGCGGATCTTACCAGTAATAAAAAGCGCATGGGTTTATCGCTGATTACACATACCTCATCTTGATTGTCGCTAAGATTTCTTCCCCCGGAGCCACCATGCTGCGGGAAGACATTGCTGTTATGGTCAGAACCTTTTTTCCCCATAATTTTTTGTAGATGATGCCTGGAGTAATGTTCCGTACTGCCACTAACTGATGGGATTCCAGCTGATGTTTCATGAATGGAAAACGGATGGAGGAAAAAAACTTCTTCAGGTTCTTTTTCTTCTTCTTCTTGGGTCCTGTTCTGCTTTGAGCGCCAAGTTTTGAAGAGGCATCTAATGCGCGCCTCGGTATGTGCTACATCGATGCTGCTGTTTATGTCCTCAGATATTTCATCTGTCCATCTTCATGCTCCCCAGCTGTAAGCTCCAGCAGAAAGTTCTGGTTGTTCATCCAGTTCTGGACTTTGGTCTTGTTCCAGTATTGTAAACGGGAGGGGAGCTATCTCCAGCATACTTGGCAAAGTATCTAGATAGTACTGATTGATTAACCTTCAATGAGGTGCAACACAAGGGATACTTGGCAAAGTATCTAGATGTTACTGATTAACCTTCAACGAGGTGCAACACAAGGGATACTTGGCAAAGTATCTAGATGTTACTGATTAACCTTCAGTGAGGTGCAACACAAGGGATACTTGGCAAAGTATCTAGATGTTACTGTTACTGATTAACCTTCAACGAGGTGCAACACAAGGGATACTTGGCAAAGTATCTAGATGTTACTGATTAACCTTCAACAAGGTGCAACACAAGGGATACTTGGCAAAGTATCTAGATGTTACTGATTAACCTTCAGTGAGGTGCAGCACAAGTGATACTTGGCAAAGTAGATGTTACTGATTAACCTTCAATGAGGTGCAACACAAGGGATACTTGGCAAAGTATCTAGATGTTACTGTTACTGATTAACCTTCAACGAGGTGCAACACAAGGGATACTTGGCAAAGTATCTAGATGTTACTGATTAACCTTCAGTGAGGTGCAGCACAAGTGATACTTGGCAAAGTATCTAGATGTTACTGATTAACCTTCAACGAGGTGCAACACAAGGGATACTTGGCAAAGTATCTAGTTGTTACTGATTAACCTTCAGTGAGGTGCAGCACAAGTGATACTTGGCAAAGTATCTAAATGGAACTGATTAACCTTCAACGAGGTGCAGCACAAGTGATACTTGGCAAAGTATCTAGATAATACTGATTAACCTTCAACGAGGTGCAGCACAGTTTGTTTATAATGACATAACACTCTGTTAGCCAATAGTACATTTATTTTGACAGAACGTTCGTGCCTACCAGCACGCACACATATCGATGTAATCACAAGATACAGTCTACACCCTGCGGATTGCTTTTAAGAGCTTGCTTGACACAGTATGCTCCGCATTCATATAATGACTTACAAGAGTCACCGCCTCTCTGCCTACGACAACCAGCTATACAGTCATCTAACGACAATCTCCAGTGAACCTACTTGGTATTTCTGCGAAAAATACAATACATTAAGCAGACACATAATCTTGGCTGACTAGAGATGTTAATCAATTCTCGCGTCTCAACAACATATAGTTGTGAGCAGAAAAACAAACTGACTAGAGACTCCATTCCTAAGTTTCCACAACCTGCACAGTTGTGAGTCAGAGCCCTAACAAGGAGTTCTACACGATGAAATGACCCAAAAATCCCATCGCTGAGTCTCCACAACACATAATAGAAAACCAGAACATTAGTGAGGAATGCTAAATTATATATATATATATATATATATATATATATATAGAGAGAGAGAGAGAGAGAGAGAGATTTATACACAGAAAGAGAGAGAGAGAGAGACTGAGGATTAAGGGCTGCATGACTAGTCAGCGCAGTCACCATGAACGAACGATTTGCGTGTTGGGGGATATTTTTAGGCTTATAATTTTGATGATTTCGGCTTCGACATTGACATAACCAAAAAGGGTTTAGCAGGTAATGTGGCGGGGGGGGGGGGGAAGTAATGGTGGCACAGTTTGATTTGATGTCACCAACCAAATACCTGGATTGTTCTGTGAAAAGTAAGAACCTATAGAAATGTGCCACTGGTGCAAAAAGGGTCCTTACTTATAATGATGCATTCAGAAACAAACTCCTGAGGAAAATGGTGAGCATAAAATGGGATGAATTCTAGAGGAGTGAAGAAATGAGAGAAATTCCACGGCAACCACTAGTCTCAACAGTTATGAGATAGAGAAGATGGCGCTGTGTTGGACACATCCTGAGAAGAGACAGAGACTCATCAAACAGGCACTGAAATAGGAAATATCAGGACTGAGGAAAGAAGGGCGTCCAGGAGAAACCCTAAGTGGGACGCTGATGAGAGAGGCCAAAGATGCTGGACTTGATTCCATCCATGATATCAGTGTGATTGCACAGGATAGAACAGAATGGATAAATACACTGCGAGCCATATTTGGTATTATGGTTTAAAAACAAAATAAGTAAAGTAAAGCACCCTTTAGGCATATAGGGCTAGACCTATATTTTTATAGACCAGTCAGCACAAGATGGGTGATGTGGTCAGCATCATGCTGGCCACCTTTACTTCACAGTACTGCACCCGTAACCCCTCGGGCGGGGTTTCCTGGGACCCAAAATCTTTTTTTTTTTTAAAGTCTGGCTTCGCCAGGCGGAACCCAAAAACCTTCTGACGGCAGACACCTGCCGTCTGCCAAGTGACCTGATTATGTACAGCGGGACAAGAATGTTTTTTTTACTTACCTTTTTAATTGCTTTTATCCCCAGAGTCATTCAAAAAATCATCTGCGGGGGGTTGGCCGGGTCATTTTGTTGCTATCATCATCACCATTTACTTCATGGTAAAGATCACTCTTGAGGGCCATGCGGTCTGTTCGGGGGTTTTGATGTACAGTACTCTTTTATTTATTCCAGGGGTTTTGCAAAACTTTTCACATTTTTATATGTATTTATTAGTATCTATGTGGTGGACTATTATTATCAAGTGTCCCCTTTCATCTCAATAATAAAGTTATGGTGGTTTTAAAAAAAAAGAAAAGATAGGTTAATTTTGGCTACAGCTGGGGGGGTTCGGGGGTCACTTGGGGGGGGGGATCACCATTCCCACTGCTATAAAAAAGCCTAAGTAAAATTTGAAGGCAACCCCAAAAAGGGTAACAGTGATGCGTGAAGAATAGGAACGCAAATTTCTTCAGAGAGAGAAAAAACCAAGCGTGGACAGTGGGGTGACTACTTGCAGCCAATTTTGTTTTGGGAGGTGACACGTGTTTGGGTTTAGAGTAGACTAATATGTTTTTTGTATTATTGGTAAATTGTACCCACCGGATATTACACAAACGTAAAAACCCGGGGGACCAAAATGCAAACCCTGCAGATGAGGTCACCGTGGGGAAGATCTCAAACCCTGTTCAGTTTTTTAGGCCTGTTTTTGGCCCGGGTATTTTAGCCCCGGCAAAAAGCCGGGGGGGCTTCACATGTGAAAAATCGCATCCCCCATGGGGGAAAATTTTGTTTTTTATTTTCCCCTTTGGGGGGTTTTTTCCCAAATCAAAAAAAAAAAAACAAAGAAGAAGGGAAAAAAAGTTGAAATCAGGAAAAGACTGAAAAAGTTACCCTGTCTGAATTTTAAGGGGGGGGGCCCCGCGGGCATGGGGGCCCTCGTGTTTGGGGGAGACACTCGCCTGCAATCGGGAAATGGTGGTTCGGCCTGAGAACCCCCGTTGTTTAAAAAAAAGACCTTTACTCCCGGGGCCCCCAGCCTAAATAGGAGTCCTGGGAATCCTGGGGAAATAAAGGGGGCCGGCTATGCTGACCACATCACCCCCGGTGTCAAATTGGCTTTAAAATTAGCCCTAACTCTAATGCCC